CTTTAGTTCTTTAAACATTTAGCTCTTTGAACATGTTTTTAAAACAGCTGGTATAAAGTCCTTGTCTAGTAGGTTCAACTTTGTTTTCGAAGTCAGGGACAGTTTTTGTTGCTTACTTTTTTCATCTGTATGGCTACACTTCCTTGTTTCTTTGCATATCTTGTGAATTTTTGTTGAAAACATTTAAAATAATGTGTCAACTCTGGAAATCAGATACTCCCCACTCCACAGGTTTTGTTTTATTGCTACTTGTTATTTGTTTGTTTACAGAGTAAGTTCAGAAAATCACTAAAGTATGTATTCTTTTTGTCTGTGGTCTCTGGAGTCTATTCAGTTAGCTTAGTGGTCAGGTAATGATAAGACAGGGATTTTCTTAAATGCCTGGAACAAGTAAATCTCCCAGTGCTTGGTGGGCGCTATATATGTGTATTATGAAATGCCTTCAATATTCAGGCAGGTAATTTACAACTCTGTCTAAGGCTTCACTTTCTGCAGAACCTCACAGTCAGTCAGAGGTGAGTGTTCAGGGCTTTCTCAAGTCTTTCCTGATCATGCACACAGCCCCTCTGCATGCATATGGCCTTCTAGATTCCCAGAAATGTAGGAGCTTTTCTAATCCCCAATGGATATCTCTTCAGTTTTCCCTTTGAAGCTTTGGGGTTAGTCTATTGTTTGCCACAACTGTTAACATCACCTTAAGCAGCTGTGACATTAACCACTTGCCTTTAAATATTTTTAATGACCCCAGGGCAAAGCTTTAAGCACTAGGCCTTAAAAGGAAGCTCCAGCTCCTTTCTGCTCTCTACATTACTGGGGATGTGGACTTTTATTTTTCAAGGCTACTACTGAGTTAGGGAGAATTGGATGGGTCTACAGCAAGTAAAAATTACAGAAAGCTCACTGTTCTTACTGAGATTCAGCTCTTTTTCTTTAATAAATGTTAACCAGGTTGCTTAAGCCTTTGGTTAATTTCCAGAGTTCCAAAAAAGTTCATTATGACAATTTTTTGTTACCATTGTCCAGTGTTTTTGTTGTTTTAATTCAGGAGTGAATTTTTAGAGGTCCTTAACTCTGCCATTTTTGCTGATATCATCTATCATGACATACTACATAGTTTAGTATGTATCTCTATGAAAATGACATTTTCTTCTATAACCATAGTGATGCCGGGGTTCTTGTTTGCAGAGCCGAAGAATGAGCTTCACAAACAGTCAAGGTAGGAGAGCAAGGTACAGGCTTTTATTTAGAGATAAAGTGAAAGGACAGAGCTCCCGGCTCACACCAGGAAGGGACAAGAGAGCCTGTAGTGGTGCGTTGTCTAGGGGGTTTTATAGGCAGTTGAGGATTTTTCGAGAACATGAGAAAAGACTTAGGGGTGTGAACTTGTTAAGTGGTCCCTGAATATTTAGAATTAACTTAACACAAGCAACTTCCTCTGATGATTTCTCTGATACCAGCATCTTGGTCTGGGAGCATATGAAACACGGCCACCTGCTCAGCTCCCAAGGTGGGCTGAGGTATTGATTGCTAAAGAGTAAGTTAAGAATTTCTAACGTCTTAACTTCTTGGGTATTAAAATGCAATCTTATCTTTAAGGTGGAATCTTTCTTGCCTTTTACTGTGTTGTTTATGCCTGGGCTTACTTGCTAAATTAGTTGTCCAGTTTGCAAAATTACTTCATCAAATCTGAAGGAGGAAAGACAGCACATAGGCCTGGGCCTTTTAGTATGCTAAAGTGAACCTTACACGTGATTATAAATGGTTAGCATAATAAAACATGTGCTATTCTTTATCTGGGGAACATTAACTGATTTCACTGAAGAATGATTCTAGAGCTCAATGTTTAACACAGAGTTTTAGCAGGGGGGTTTCCTTGCATGTAGTTACATTGCTCTGACTGCAAATATCCCACCCTGCCCCCTCCAGAGGCCCTCACCCTACTCTGACTATATCCATGGTCCCTGTCTCAATAGTACCATTATATGACACCTAACTAAAGTAACATTTACTTTCTAATATCATTTAATACCAATCCTTATTCAAATTTCTCCCAATTATACCAGATACATCTTTTATAATTTGTTTATTCAAACCAGGACCTATTCAAGGACTGCACGTTTCATTTGGTTATTATAGTCTCTTAGTCTCATTCATTATTTAACATTTTCTATTTTGATTATTTTCAAACATACATAAATACAGAAGGATAGTACATAAACACCCATATTCTCCATACTGAGGTCCTGCAGTTGTAATATTTTGCTAGATTTGCTATATCCATTTATCTATATCTAAAGTTTTTGCTACAGTGTGCAGGCATTGTAACATGGTGTTTTACCCCGTAATATGTCAGTATCTCTTAGAAGTCAGGACACCCTCCTCTGTAACCACACTTCCTTTGTTGTATTAACAGTTAATAATTCCCTAAGATCTAATACCCAGACCATATTAAAATTTTCTCAACTGTTCCCCCAAAATGTCTTTAGAGGTTTTTTTCCAGCTTAAAACCACAGCACATTCATGTATTAATACAGGTTAGGAAATTTGGAAAAGTCACTGTGGGGACAGCTTCTCTCCATTCCATGTCTGGGGCCTCAGCTGGGAAATTTGAAGACTTGGGATGGGGGTGGGTCACTTGATGACCAAGAATTTGAATCATGTGAAGTCTCATTAGCTCACATTTCTGGTGCCTGGGCTGGAGGGACTCATGAAGTATCAAACAGAGTGCTGACATTGGCCTCTTCCATCGAGCAAACTTCATCACTGCCTGGTTGTCGCAGGGTGATCAGACTTCTTAAGTGGCTGCTCAGGGCTCTTAAGTGAGTATTCCAGCAAACAATGCAGAAACTGAAATTGTCTTTTCTGATCTAGCCTCAGAATTCATGCAGTGTCATTTTCACCACATTCTGTGTTCTACAAGTAAGCCTGCTCAGATTCACCTGGAGGGAACATAGACCCTACTTATCAATAGGAAAGTATCAAAGAATTAGGGGTCTGGTTTTAAAACCACTACATGTACAAAACTATAGAGAACAATATATAAAATAAACCCAAGAATCCATGACCAGAAATTGTGCTTTAACATTTTTGCTGGATTTGCTTCAGATCTTTTTTTAAACAAATAAAACGTCTAATGTTTAAAGAAAGGACTTAAGCCTCCTGAACTGCTTATTCTAGAATCTGCTTACTGTTTATACAGAGTCTCCTTTATGATAGTAACAATAGCAGACAGCCAAGGAATCTTTAAATCTAGGTCAGTCCCTCTACTATCTCCTTTTTTTCTGTGACATTGACTTTTTTCTTTACTTAGAATCAATAGTACAATGAATTCCCATATGACCACCACTGAAAATCAACAGTTATTTGATTCATCTATCACTTTCTTCTTTTTTTCAAAATTATCAATGGTTTAAAGCAAATCCCAGTTATTGTGTTATTCTCCCCACCCCACCTACTTCACTATGATCTCTAAAAAAAATGGACATTTTCTCATGCAATCACAATTCTGTTACCACATAACAAAATCAGTAATTTGATAATTCCTTGATGTTACCTAATAGTAAGTATATGATCAAATTTCCCCAATTGTATAAGCAAAAGTATTTTTACAGTGGATTTGTTTTAAGTCAGGTTCTAAACAGGATCCATATTGCAGTTAGCGGCCATGCCTTTTGAGTCTCTCTTAATCTAGAATAGTCCCCTCTTTTTGTTTTATGCTACTGATTTGTTGTAAAAGCCAGTATAATTGTCCTGTAGCATATCCTACCTTCTAGATTTATTTGTTTGCTTCCTTGTAACATTGTCTTTTTAATGAAACCAGACCAATTATTTTGCTGAGTGTCTGATTGTTTTCTCATGGTATCATTTAACTTGTTCTTTTATCTCTGTGTTTCCTGGAAACCAGAAGTAATATGAACTGCTTACTTGATTTTATATCTTTGGCAAAATTATTTCCCAGGTGATGCTGTGAATTTCCCATTGCATTGCATCAGGAGGTGCATGAAGTTGGCTGTCTCACGATTAGTGAAAATAAGGTTAATAATTAGTTAAGGGGGTGAATTCCTCATCTCACCATTGTAAAGTTAATTTTTTCTTCTTGAGATTAGCAAGTAATCTGTAAGGCGATACTTGGGTACTGTGTGATTATCCAATTCCCTAGAATCAGTTGTTTCATTAGGGCCTACAAACCTTTGATTTTCTAATTCTGTCATTCCTTTTACAGATACTAGATGGCATTCTTCTGTAAAATTGAGCTTTTCCCTTATCATCAGGGGCTGTCTGGTTATCCTGAAATACACTTCCTATGTAAAGTATAGGATGGGTAACTATTCTTTGATTCAAGATTGTTACTGCATTATTGAAAGAGTCAGAAAAGATGGTGATCTTCTTCAGGAGCTCATAGCTTTGTGTTAGTAGACAAAATAACACTGTAACATTAGGGAATGAGACAATTGGTATTTGCTATGTTTTAAGTGACTTGTACATATGAAAAGTTCAGGGAGAGGAGAGGCTAATGTAAGCTAGAGAGGTCCTAGAGGTTTTGTGTAGAAGGTTGATTTCAACTTATCTTTGGAGCATGGGCATGTTTTGGAAAGGCAGACAAAAGGAAAGAAGGTCCTTTAAGGCAGTGTGGATGGTGAGAATGAAGGCACAGGGAGAGAGGATGAGCTGTGCATATTCTGGAGGTATAATAAGGAAACCATTCTGTCTGGAGAAGTGAAAATATGGGTGCAGAAATAAGGTCAGGGAGGGAGGTAGGCCAGGAGCAGAACATGGACAACCTTAAATGCCAGCTCAGGGAGGTAAATGTTTATTCTTTAATTAGTGTGTGCTTTGCATACTTTGGGCATATATGAACTAGCTTCACACCTGACAGGAAGCAAAATCTGGCTTTGTAAAAAGCTAGAAGCATGAAGACCGTGAGACCACCTTTGGAGAGCTCAGAGGTAAGGTATATGGTTGACATACAGATAAATGTCCTTATCCTGTTTCCTCTGCAGCCCGTGTGACCCCAACTCTACCAAAGCAGGACCGTCCTGTGCGTGAGGGGACCCGGGTAGCTTCCATTGAGACAGGATTGGCTGCAGCAGCTGCAAAGCTGGCCCAGCAGGTCGGTGCTGATATCCAGGCAGTGACCCTGCTACTGATCCCAGTTTGACTTTGAGCCTCAAACCTCAGACCTTCAGACTAATAGGATCCCCTTGTTGTCTCACTGAGGAGTGGGTAACCTTTGGTCTTTATCCATGGTAGTATTCTAGCCCCCTCCTGTGTCCTTCACATCCAGCTCAATGTCAAGCTACTTCCACAAGTCTCCCATAGTTGACATGATTTAGGATGAAAGGAAAATAAGGACCAGAGAAAAGCCCTTGCTGATACCACTTGTCTTCTGGTTATATAAAATCCTCTCAGATGGGAAGGACCAGGACTGAGAGCATTTGTGAAAGCATTTGTCTTCCTTCAGATTTAGCCCCAAGGAAGTGACTCAGTTGAGTACCTCCAGTTCTCAACCACCCTCCAGTATTGGAATTTGATTTCTGGGGAGAGGCTTTTCTTGTCCTCTCTACCAAGTACTATTGTCTTGATTACTACTTACTGCTTCCCAAGGAAACTTCACCCACTAATTTTTGTCCTAAAGAGTCACTTCACTAAAATAAAGTTGACCTCTTAGCATGTTATAGTTTGCAAAGTTCTTTAGTGTGTATAACATGCTCAGCAACCCTGGGAGCAACTGGAGGTGAATCTTCTGGTTCTCTCCTTATCAACATCCCTTAGCTCCTCCTGCCACATCCTATGGCTTAGAGCATTTTATTAAGCATCTGCTTTATGTTAGGTGCCTCTGTGTATAATGTCTCATGTAGTCTGCTGAATAGCCCTATTGAATAGGTGATATTTTCATCATTTTACAGGTGAAGAAAATGAGGCTCTTTAAATGACTAGTCCAGGATAATACAGCCAGTAAATGGAGGAGACAAGATTCAAACTCATATTCTCTTACTTCCAATTTCATGTTACTTACAGTTTAAATAAAATGAACTTGTTAAGTGTTCATGTAATTTAGTAATCATATCCTATTTAAACAAAATTGCATAGAATGCTATTTTTAATATGTTCTGTGGAGCTCTAGAGTTGCTTAGAGATGTCTTGGAGGCTATTATTGAGAGCCAGCAGATACCACACAGGCCGACCTTTCTTTGACGAGAACTTCTCTCTGATATGTATATCTTGGAGTCATATAAGATGTAATTTGGAAAAAAAGGGGTTCTACTGCTCTAAATAAACAGATACGTCAAAGTTGTGAAAACTACTTTTAATGCCTCCTAAGTATCTCACTTCTGTTTGAGCTGATCGGGGATAATTTCAACAGAGAGGTTTTGAAATTGGGGAGGGGTTTTGCAGGCTAAGCTTTTAAAGGAGACAGAGAGGCATTCCAGGAAAAAGGAACTCCTTGGTACAACACACAAGGCCCTCTTGATTTGGCCACCTTTCCTTCCTTACCTTCTGCCAGCCTCTCATGCACATGCCCTTTATTGTGTATTGCACGGCAGCCATACTATTGTACCATGGTACTCAGAGTTCACTCAGTATATGAGATTGTCTCATGTCTCTGTGCCTTTGCACAAGCTGTTCCCTGTACCCATTGGGAATCATGCCTTCTCAGATACCTTACCTAACACCCCTTCATACCACCTACCACTAATTTATTTCAGTGGCTTTCTGTGCTTCCATAGCATTCTCTCATGGTACTTATTAAATGCTAAATGCCTCAAGGGTGGAGCTGTATCTAGTTGAACTTGGTATCTCCACTATGCTAAGTATGTGTTTAGTCAGTATTGGGTGAGTGAAAGAATGAGTGAATGGATAAATGGATGAGCAGTTCTTTCTGGATTGAAGGCTTCATGTCGAAGAATGGGTTAAGATAAAGAGAAGCTACAAAATGGATTCTGGAGTTTAGAATCCTGCTTGAGTTTAGAAGCCTCACTCTACCACTTGAACAAGTTACTTAATTTCTCCGTGCCTTAGTTTCCTCATCATTTTTGAGGATCACATGAGGTAAATATATGTAGAAGCTCTTTGAGAATGGCACTTGCCACCAGAGTAAGTACTATAGGCATGTTAGCCTTTCATCATTATCATTATGGGTTGGCTAGGTATAAAGTGGCCAGACCATGGAAGATTATGAATATCAGCAGGAAGTTTGAACTTGGGTAGGGACCTGTTAATGGCTTTTTGAGCAAGGGAATTGGCAAAGTGAAAGTGGCCCCATCATAAGACAGTCTTATCTTCCATGGGGAAATCTGGATGAATTAATTGTATGAGAAGAAGATTGGCAGAAAAGGTAGAGAAATTTAGACTATGTAATCTAGGTGTGAAGAGATACTTTCTGGATTTGGATGAGAGCAATGGGGGCCCAAGTGCAGTTCCTGGTATGGGTGGAATAGCAGTGTGGTTGAGAAGAGAGATTGTGAAGCCAGATGGCTTGGGTCTGAATCCCAGCTTGACCACTTACTGGTCCTGTAACCTTGGGAAAAAGGAAAATGACTTAACCTCTCAGCCACAGTGCCTTCTCCTAAAAATGGGATTATAATTCTTTCCTCTCATACTTCTTATGAGCATTAAATGAATTAAATTATAGAACAGTGCTTGGCATGTATTACTAATATTATTATTATTGTCCTTCAGAAATTTCTATAGTAGCCATAGGCCTGTCACATCTTCTGAAGGCAGGAGTAGGCCAAGAGAAAGCAAACAAATATAATCACTGAGTTGATCTGTGTGGCCATATAGCATTTCCGAAGTCATTCACATGCTCTCAGCAGCACTTTTCCAAGTTCTCAGGGCACCAGATGCCCACTACACAGGTATCCACTACACAGTGGGTATTAGATCTACAGAGCAATGGATGGCTGAAACCAAGATACTGGGAGAAGTGCTACAATTCCTTATTTATCCCTCCCTTCCAAAATTGAGGTTTTTAAGACCCAGTGACACAGAGGATTGTCAGGTCCTCTGTTAAAAGAAAAAGACCAGCAAGAGGAAAAGAAACCATCATAAGTGATGAAGATAGAACAATAGTTTACCACTTATTGAGTCCTACTATGTGCTACATGTTATGTCAGAATTTTATTTACTCTTAGAACCCTGAAGAACAGATATATTGTCCATTTTACATATGAAGGAATTGAGATTCATAAAGGTTAGTAACTTGAACAAGGTCTTCCAGCTTAGGAAACACAGGCCTAGACTTGAACCCAAGTTTATTTCATTCTAAAGCTACTACTTTTTCACTCTCATATGTCCCATTTTGAGAAGTGTGCAGGATGGGTGTTCAGATAGACCTGGCTGAATCCTGGATCCAACAGCTCTCAGCTTGAGGCTTTGGGCTCAAGTTATTTAATATTCCTGCTCCTCAGCTCATCTGTGAACTGAGAGGTTTTCCTTCTGTGGGCTGCTCTGAGGATTAAATGAGATAAAGTATATAAAGTACCTCAGTTGCTGGCATAAATTTAGCTATTATTAGAAATGTCCATGGCAACTTCATAAGTGGCCCGGGTCTCTGAGACCAAAACCCAAGTCTCTGAACTCATTTACCCTTCTGTTTCCACTGCACTGAGTAGTGGCAATAATGACTTAAGGATGGATAGTACCAAAGAGATGACCTCAGATATTGGCAGGCCTGTGTGTTGTGTATACATAATCCAGACTAGATGGGTGGGGGCAGGTTGCAGAACCACACTGACCAGTGTCTAGTTCCCTTTCTGGGAAATTCTCTTCTCTTTTCTCCACTCTTAAAGTCTTCCTTCCCACTTGGTTTGTTTCAGGAGCTACAGAAAGCCCAAAAGAAGAAATATATCAAGAAGAAGCCTTTGTCAAAGGAGGTAGAACAGCCTCGCCCTCAGGAGTCCAACCTCAACATGGCAGCACCAGCCCCAACTCTGGCCACTACACCCCAGCTTCTCACCTCCTCCTCACTCCTGCCTCCTCCTGAGACTAAACAAGAGGCTCTCTCAGGAAGTCTTGCTGACCACGAGTATACTGCTCGTCCCAATGCCTTTGGCATGGCCCAGGCAAACCGCAGCACCACACCTATGGCCCCTGGTGTCTTCTTGACCCAGCGGCGCCCTTCAGTTGGCTCCCAGAGCAACCAAGCAGGACAAGGTATGACTGCCACGTGGCTGTAGAACTAAGAAGGGTTTTAAGGCCACTGACTTCAAAGCCTAAGCACTCTGGTAGGTGAGAACACCTTGGAGGGATCCTGAGAGCCAACCAAAGATGCTTGGACTTGATCTCATAGGCTATGAAGAGACACTGACTGGTGTTAAGCAGAGATAAGCTCAGATGTGGGTTTAAAAAGACCCTTCTGGTGGCCAGAATGGAGGGTAGGCTAAAGGTAAGGAAGTCTAGGGAGGAGGTGCATACAAAGGTTGAGGCTGAGGTTCTGGCAGAGGGAATGGAAAGGAAGGGGTAAGTTGATGAATATGGAGGAGGTCACATGAGACATGGGAAGTGATTCAGTGGAGGAAGAGGAAGAGATATGAGGAAGACTCATCCTCCCTTTCCTCACTTTGGCCCTCAAAGCCCAGTCCATAGAGTACGCATGGATAGTAAATTTAGTATGGCATTGGGTGATGAGAATGGGGGTTTCTAATGAAACTAGCCCTAGGGCTTACAACTTCAGGGTTGCTGAGCTATAATTATTAACTAGGCCCTTATCCAGTCCTGGTGGGCTGGATAAGAGGATGGAGAGGCATAATCACCTCTCTGCAGAATTTAGGAATAAAAATCATTGGGACCAAAGAAATCAGTGGGGAAAAGGAACAGGACAGACTAGCCAGGGAGTCTAGCTGCTGCAGGAGGTTCATATGACGAAGAGCCGAGGTATGTGGTGCTGGATGGAAGTAGTTAAGGAGGGCTTCTTGCCCATGATGGGTCTGGAGCCAGGCATAATGACAGGGAGGCTGTGGGAAGGAACATGAACAGGCAGGGGGTCATGGCCCAAGGACAGACATACAGTGCTAGAGTTGCTGCTGGAGCCTTTGCCATAGCCTTTGCTTACCTCTCCCTTCCCTCACAGGAAAGCGCCCGAAGAAGGGCCTGGCCACAGCCAAGCAGAGACTCGGCCGTATCCTGAAAATCCACAGAAATGGCAAATTACTTCTGTGAGACCCCTGTAACCTGCCTCTCACCCCTTCACCCCCATTGCCTTCTCCATTGTCAACTCTTGGGGCACTCCTGGATCCTATCTGCCCCAGACAAGGTGCTGAGGCGCATTGTCCTGCTTTCTTGGAACTGACCAAAGCATGGACTCCCCCACAGTCCCTTCACTGACTCCTCCAACTTCCTCCCCTACTTCCACTAGAGCATCCTGCCTTCCTTCTCCATACCTCTGAGTGAGAGGTGAATGGGAGAGGTTTCCAGCTGACTGGAACCCTCTTTTCTGCTTTTCCAACCCATTTCCCTTTCCCTGGCCTTGTTTGCCCTATATTCTCATCCCCATCTAGAGCTGGAAGGCAGGATAAGGAAAGCCTGAGCCCCTTAGTATTTCCCTGATCATGAAGCAGGAGGCCCAGTACTGAACCTTCTGCAACTCCAGCCCTGAGTCCAGAAGCCTGCCCACCTCTGCCCATTCTTCCTTCCCCTTCCTCCCCCCTGCCCAGTGGACATGCCCCACTCCAGACTTGTTCCTGAGAAAAGGATCTGGCCTCCATCTCTTCTTGCCAAATGCTTCACAGAAATAAGAATGAGAGCCCAGAGTCTTACTGCCCCACTATGGGCCATTTCCAGAGGCGTCCTAGGAAGTCCATGGGCTAACTTCACTCATCTTTGGGAAGAAGAGAGATTCCTGTCACTTCTCAAGGTGGGCAGAGGACCAATGCCCAAGTCTCTGACCATGACTTTGTAGTCCATTGGAAGTAACTACTTTTGGGAGACTACAGATGAAGGGCCCCTGTCCCAGGGTGAGCTCCAGGGATTTGCCTGAACTTTTGAGGACCTGCAAAACATTATCCACATGGCTATGGCTGGGACCCAGCAGCTGAAAAACCATCTCCTTAAAGGTCTGAAGGCACCTGCCACTGAAGCAGATAACCCTGGCCCTACATCCTATTCCCTTCATCTGTACTATAGAACACAGTCTGGAGGGGATGTGACTGGACAGCTCATCCCTGGGTTCTCTATCAGGAGCCTCCATGCTTCTTTTTCCATGTGAGATTTTGGTATGGAGAAGAACTCAGAACTCACATCTTTACTCCTGGGCCTTTGTGCTCCCAGACGTCATGTCAATGCTCAGAGTACACATGGGCCACTGGGAGCCCAAGCCTAGGAGAGGAGATACCCCACCCATCTGTAAAGGTGCAGATTATCTGATTCTCCCCTTCCCCTCTTCCCTTTGTGGACATGTCTGTTGTCCAGACAGTGCCCACCTTTCACCCAATCTCCCACCCCCAGCTCCCTCCTCCTTGGCCTCTCTTACCACCCTGGCAACATGGACTGGATGGCAAATGCCTGCCTCTCTTCATTTTGGACTGCCCAAGTGGAGTGTATCCTTGCCTTTTACCCCTGACTCCAACCTCACCCCAGTTTGCCCAGTGCTTCTGGGAACTTAACAGCTACCATGCAGGCCACAGGGAGTATGTGAGGCTTCCCTTGTTGTCTTTATCTCCAGTATGTCTTTCCTTGCAGCCCCACATCTCTTCTTCCTTGGAATCAGGGGGTCCCTTGGCCCTATTTGCTTTTTCTATCTTGGGGACCCTAGGGGCCATGCAGTCCTTCATCTAGTCACACCAAAGGCAAAAAGCCTGGCTACCTCCCCCCTAGCACATGAGGTCCCTACTCTCCTCCCCTCTGTTACTGCCCAGTTTTTGATTTTCTTGGGGATTTCAAGGCAGCAGAGGGTAGTGAGGGGAGGGGAAGGGGGCAGCCTGTGTCCCTGTATAGACAACTGCCTGACTAGGCCCTGACTGCTGTAACCAAGACCAGGATTCTAGCCCTTCGTCCCTTTAACACACCCCCACCCCTTGATCTTTCAAAGGCAGCTAATTGCTAGCAAATCCCCCTGGTTCCAGGCCTCTTTCCCCTCTCTTGCTTTGTTAGGAGTTTCTGTGGAGCTGAAGCCCAACCTCCAGTTGACTGGGTTTCCATTTAGTTTAATTGGGCTCTCAGAGCCTCCTGTTTGTTGTTTTGTGTTTTGAATGAAAAGCAGGTTTACCCTCAGAGTTATGCTTTTCCAAAGAGGCTAGTGTGTTTTTTTTTGTGTGTGTGTGTGTGTGTGTTTTTTAATGTTTCAGGTTCTAAGTGAAGTGAGTTAGGGAGGGGTTGGGAGTGGTAGTAACCAACCACGGTTTGGAACATGGTGAAAGAGTTTCCTTTGGTCTCCAATCCCCCAGCACGGAGCTGGGGGTTGGATAGGGGGCAGGGAGAGAGGATTTCTATTCACCTTTAATATATTTTTACAAAAAAAGGCGAACAATTTAAAAACAAGCCCACCTCTTCTGTACATGTCTAAATATATTTTTAGAAGTGGGTAGTATTGTGAATTTCTGATGCAGGACCTTTTTATAAACAGGTTAGAATAGCATCATACAGACTTCTCTGTTTTTTTTTCCTGTTTTTTTCTTATGTTGTGTTACTAATGTAATTTATATTTTTTTTAGATCCCCCGTTTCCTATAGAGATAAAAGTGATTTATCTTGGCAATTGCTTTGCTTGGCATTCTTTTTTTTTGGTGGTGGTGGTGGTTGTGGTGGGGTGGTGGGGTCTAGGAGTGCCGCCTTCCCTTCATATTCTCTGTCTCTCCCTCCCATTAACTCAGCACTTCCCTGGTACCCAACTTTGTGCCTGAGTTGGGAAGGGGACAGGATCCTTGCCCTCAAAAGAGACACAGTTTATACACCAGAAACAGATTATCAGAAATACAGTAACCAGAAAAGAAAGGAAACAACAATTCAAAGGGGCCTGATAAATTTGTTAGGATGGCTTTTCCATAGTTTCTATAGGCTGTTTTTAGTGGCTACACCTATATCCTCTTAATGAATTAATGTGAAGTTTTTTGGGGGGGTTTCTTCTCTCTCTCTCTCTGACATGCTTTTTCAGACTGAACTTGATTACTGTACTTAGGGCCAGGGCAAGGGATAGAATAAATTATTAGAGCTACATCATGCTCATTTCCTTGTGCCAGAAACTGTTTAGTGTTCTATGTATATTGATTCATTTCATCCTCAGCAACATCCTCATCCTACTGATGAGGAAATAGGCAAAGGAACCTTCCAGCATCACACATCAGAAGTGGTGGGCCCATCTGTTTCCAGACTCTCTGTTCTTATCACTCGGTTCTACCACTTCTCACTGATAACTGCTGCCATTTATTAAGTGCCTTTTCTGCAGCAGGCCTTGGGCTAGGGGTTTCACTTAGGATATCTCATTTAATCCTCACTGGCAACCTTGGGATATAGTTATTAGTCCTATTTTGCAGTGAAGGTGACTGAAGCTTACTAATGGTCTTCCACAGCAGGATGTCTGACTCCAAAACTCATGTTTTTTTCCCTCACAGTGTTAGAAAATGACCCGACATGTTTATTGAGCACTTGTGTAAAATGTGGCATTGAGAATTGTGTCCTGAGAAGAGCCTATGCAGGGATTTCAGGATCCTCAATTCCAAATTCACCACCACCCTGTGTGACTCAGGGCAGGCTGCTTACTATTGGGTCACTGTGAAAGGAGTTTGAACCCAATCAAGAAATCTTCATACTGGAGATTCAGTTTCTGTGGGTCTGGGGTGAGGCTGTCTGGATTTGGCGCCTACCTGGTGAAATGACCCCATCCAGCCCTGCAAATCTTAATCTTGGTGTTAGGCAGGATTTGGATAGAGAAGATTCTTGTCTGGGGCATGGGGAACTGTGTCGCCTGGTAGAAAGGCAACAGGAAAGAGGAGGGATTTCAGAGACCTTGCAGGAATGGTGTGCTGGGTTCTCTTTGTCACCAACGGCCACCCTCCACAGTGAGGGGCCAAAGCACTGTTGCCAGCCTCAAGTTAGAGGATAAGCTAGAGTCTTGGTCACCTTACTTCTCATCCAGGCAGGAAGTAGCAGCAGCAGCAGAGGATTATGTGTCAAAATTGGAAGAACAAGGTCACCCAACTTCAGTCTTCCCTCTTTCTAATATAGGGTGGAAGAAGGCATAGGACTTCTCACTAAGAGCCTGCCCTCTCCATAACTGAGTAATTTGGGGGAGGTTGCTCATCTGGGTTTCAGTTTCTACATTTGCCAGATGGAATTTTGGCAACTATGAAGCATGGTCAACCCCAAACTTTCTAGATGCTGTTGACTCCCAGACCAAACCCTCTAGTCCTAAACTGTTCTGAGTACAGATCCCCAATTCTGCTTGTTCATGTTGTTTTCCCTACCTTGAATATACAGGACCCTCCCTTTCCATCAGGACCCTGTTCACCCTAATTTGACTGAAATGGCACTCTGCTTCCAGTAAGCTGAGTGGAAGAGAAAAACACTATATGGTACAGTGTGGTGATAGAGATGAGCATGAGATGCTGCTCAGGGAGTCTGTCCCAGGAAAGCAGGGAGTTCAGGTAAGGCTTCCTGTCAGAGGTGATGCCTGAGCTGAAGGATGAAAAGTAATCAGCCAGTCAGGCAGAGAACAGTGGTAAAGAGTATTCCAAGCCAAGGCAATAGCATGAATAAAAACAAGCTGGGGGCTGGCAGGGGAACCCTGTGCATACAGAGAACTATCAATTTAGTATAATATAGCTGTGAATTTCACCTGGGGGAACATAGGCAGAATTGTCAGAAGGGAATGTGTAGTTTGAGAAGGCATATGATCAAAATTGATAGTCTTTAGGCTTAATATTTATTGTAAAACCTCAAATAATGGAGTATATGAAATTTTTATATTTATTGAAAGACACAATTATTCCATGAATGACAGAAAACCATTAAAGGGTTTTAAGCAGAAAATGGTGTGAGCCAACTTGCTTTTAAAAAAGATCCTATTGTCAGTCATAGGAATGGATTAGGAGGGAGAAAGATAAAGCCAAGGAGACCAGTGAGGGAGTTACTGAAGGAGGGGTGGGAAAGGCACTATCTCATCTTCTAATGCCCCATTGAATGCCACTTCCCCAAGAAAATCTTCAACTTCCTAGTCAATTCTGACCTTTTTCTGGACTTAGACATCTCATGAAGGGTAGAAATCCCAGGCCATTTCCAGGAGGCAGAAACAGCAGAAACCTGGAGTCAGCCACTCATTCAACCCAACAAACAGAAATTGAACTCTATCACCTTTTTAGTTTCTTAACTCTCAAAATAGCTCACCTTTCCAGGCTCTCTCTTTCCCCATAGAGCCACAACCTAATGCCAGGACTCGCCAATGAATATGCTAAGAGAGATTAAATACCATTTTATATTTTCCTTGTCAGGAGCCCAACAAGCCTCCCCCATGTTCCATTCTAAAATACACAATGTCTCAAGGGTATCTTCCAAAAATCCTATTATCCCCAACATCCCCTCCTGCCTGAGAATTTCTGTGGCTTCCCACTGCTTGTTATGCCTTCTGGGCTTTAAGGCTTTTTCCAGAACATGGCCCAGCATGGAGACAATGGGCTGTGTTGGAAAGAGGATGTGTCTGGGAGTTGAGAAGACCAATGATTCCATTCTACCTCTGTCACCTGTGTGATCTTGAGCTGGCTACTTTGTATTTCCTTAATTTCATCATTATAAAATGGAGATATAATCCCTAACTCACAGGGTTTTGGGGAGGAATTATAGTAGCTACTGTCTTTAAAGAACTTAATTTCTGGCACTCAGGTGATCAGTGAATCTAGTTTAATTTTTCCCAGTTAAAATTTGCCCACCAAGGCTTATGATCTTACAATCACTACAGAGAAAGTAAGCTTTCAAAGGAATTGGAAAGAGTATTTCAACCTGGGGCAGGATAATCAAGTTGACCTCATGAGGAAAATGTTTGAAGGGCATAGAGAGATGGCTGAGTCAATAGATGTGGTGAGCATTACACTCCTATAGAAGAGATAAAACTGAATCTGACACAAAATTGCTGGAAGGTGCCAAAATATCATCCATGCCAGTTCAGTATCACTGGTTCAGTTCTACAGTGGATTATCAAAGCATCTTTTGTGTCAGGCCTTGTGCATGCCATTGGAGGGTTTGATTCTCAAGGAGCATGTGATTCAGTATCCGAAGTACAGCATACTGGGATAAACACTATATTTCAAATGAGTATGGGATGTTATGGGAGCACAAGGAAAGGGAAACAACCCAGTCAGCAGAACAGGAAAGACCTCTAGGAAGAAGCAACACCTGAGTTGAATATTGAAGGCCATTAACTAGGAAAGGGAAGGCAGAATGATGAGTTACAATAGAGTTTCCAAGCAAAAGGAACAGTATGAGCAAAAGAAAGTCAAAGCAACCTGGTGTGTGGTTGGAACAACAAGCCCTTGAGTTGTGCTGGTGAACAGGCTGGATTAAGATAGCAAGTGTTGACAGATGAAGCTGAAAAGGTTGGCAGGGACCCGATCATAGATGTCCGATTTATATTTCAGAATGTTTTCTCTGGCGATCCTTGGGGTGGGGAAAAACAGAAGCAGATTAGTGTGGAGGCCAGTGTAAAGGTGGTTGCAGTATCCCAGTTAAGATGCAATGAGGTCTAAACCAAGGCAGTGGTTGTATCAGTAATGTTAACCCACACCCTGACATTTTACTATGAACATTTTCAAACATTCAGAAAGTCAAAGTAATTGTACTGTAAACACCCACATATCCACCATCCAGAGTCTACAATTAGCATTTTACTACACTTGCTTTGTTACACATATCTGTTCCTCCCTCTGTACACCAACCATCTTATTTTTTATGGATTTCAAAATTAGACATCTATGCACATCTCCATTAACACTTATGCATGCATGCAATTAACTGGAGTTCAATATGTAATTCTTTTTTTAGCTAAAATATCCATACAGTGAAATGCACATATCTTGAGTATAACTTCATCTTTTGATGAATGCATATATACATATGTAATCCACCCCCTATTAATATACAAAACATCACAATCAACCCAGAAAGTTTCCATGGGCCCCCTCCTAGATCACACCTTTTCCCCCTTGAGTGGACCTTGAGTTTGAAAGGGTAGGGTTTAGAATGTGAAAATAGTCCAAGTGGAGAGAGCCTGGATGGCTCCCTCTCCAGCAAAGTCATAAAGGCAGGTAACCATGGGGGATACACAAGCATTGTAAAAGAGCTTGGATGAATGCCTTTCAGCCTCCCTCCTCTCCCCTACTGAGCCTTATCTTTATGAAACTAAAGTAGAGGAGTCAAGGGACTGCTGGGCCCTCAGTAAGATAGAAACCTTGCAAGAAGGCAGAAACACTTACGATTCAGTGTAACGAATGTTACATTGCACCAAGGGTCAGTGCTATAACAGGAAAGAATTAAAAATGAGGTCAAACAACACAAAAGTGCCACAAGAGTTTGGGGGGAATGTGTACACACACGCAGGGGTGAAGGTAGGAAGGGAGAGAGAGAGCAAAAAGGGATAAGGGAGAGAAAAGGTAAGTAACTCAGACTCCTGGGACTGGAGAAGCTCAAAGGAAAAAGGGAGAACATTTAGCAGCCATGAAAAATTTCCTGGAGATGAGAGAAGTTAAGTCTTAAAGAAGGCTCTTT